CCCCCCCCCCGACTTCCCAGAGCCCGTACACGGTGTAGCTTTTTAACAAACAGTCTGAACTGCGATATTTTTTAATAGATTCAAGGGAACATAGCTTATTTCCCTCAAAATAGTTAAAACAGCGAACTAGTGTTTCTCAACACAAAGGAACAACCAATTAAATAGCCACAACTCCCAAACTATGTTCTAAATAGTTTCATTTTATTAAAAAGGTAACTTGTGCATATTTGAATTATGAGAGCACTTAATGGGATCTTTCTTTCTTTCTTTCCTCTTCTTCCTCCTTCCTCTCCTCCTCCATAAAAGCTTCTGTTGTTTTCAGAAACAGTATTTCATAAATTCAAAAATAATTTGACACATAGTGTAAAAAACTTGGAATTTGGGAAGTATCAGTTATGTGTTGAGTCTTGGACAGAAAATCCAATACATTGATACTTTAATTGCATCAACTGGATTGATATAAACATAAAGCATTTTTTTGCTAACTCTTTAGTGAATAAGCAGCCTGCTCCTGCAATTCGTCATTGCTATCAATTTTGTCATTCTAAAAAATTAAATAAATGTGAGGATGGAGAACATCCAACTTCTCCAGAGTTTGTGGAATTGCAGTTCTTGATCATTGGCCATTCTAAGTGGAGCTGTAAGGATTCGGTGGGTTCAGTAAATTCTGGACAATAGCAGATTCTCCTTATTGAGGTATGTGTAATTCAATCATAATTACCTGAGTCATGAGATTGGGCAACTCTATCCAAGGCAAGTCATCCCTTTGTCTTGGGTTTTATTAAGTAGCCATGCAGTCACACTCATGGTGACAGGGAGTCATGGAAGGTTAAATAAATTTGTAGGTGGCACTGTTTAAAGTTACTTCAATGAGGAAAACTTGAGTAGCAACAGCAATAGCACTTAGACTTATATACCGCTCCATAGTGCTTTACAGCACCTCTAAGCAGTCTACAACATCAGCATAATTGCCCAACAATCTGGGTCCTCATTTTAACAATTTTGGAAGGATGGTAGGCTGAGTCAACATGGCATTGGGCAGAGGGCAGTAGCAGAAATGGCATCAAAGTTATGGGTGAAATTAGGACCCCCAAATTCTTTTACATATTTTGATCTCCAGTATCGAAATGTAAGAAGACACATCATTACATCTTTAGGCAAAATAAATATTTTTATTGACACGATAGCCTTTTTAAAAAGGATTTAGCCCTTGGGTATATATGCCCAACACAGTTTTCTGACATACTTCTCCCAATATTGTTACATTTTTATGAGTCACTGATTATTTAACAGAATCTTAATTTTGTTAGCTGAAAACATTTTTTTAAAAAACATGTAAGGTAGTTGATTAGCATTTAAGACATGGCTATATTCCAACTTTTGAGCATTACTGTATTAAACTATATATTAGGAATAACACCTGCTTCCATTTTTATTGGCTGTGGTGAATGTCATTTTCTTTAGGCTGTAGAAAAAAAGAATGAAAAATTTCCCCATAACAGCAGACTAATGCTAAGCCCATGTTGTTATATGCCACTTGCTTTGCCTTTTAAACTAGTGTTTTTTTTTCCAGACTTGCTTTAATAGGCAGAGGAAATGGCTAAAAATCACTTCTCAATATAATTGCAGAGTAGTTCATACATTAAGTAAAACAAAAACAAAAAACAATATCCCAAGAAAAAAGGGAAGGATAAAGAAAGCAGAAAAATATATAAATCTTTTTTTTAAAAAAAGTTATCTACTTTGCAAAGATCAGGCTTTCAGTGTACGTATCTGTAGTAGTTTTAAGTAAATTTGTGTAATTTTCTAAACTCTCCACAAATGACAGCTTCTCCCAAGCATTCCTTTGTACAACGTCTTCTCTTTTTTTTAAGTGGCACTTGAGTTCCACAGCAGTGGAAACGATTACTCCAAGCTTTCAAAGTGAAACAATTATTGCACAGTTAAATACCTCACAGAGGTCAGTGGGGATTTTGTTGTTGTTGTTGTTGTTTGAATCTATAACAATCCTAGGCTATTTATAACCAGGGAAGGTCCAGAAATCTTCAAGTCTTAAGAGGAACACACAAATAAATATTAAGGCCTGCAAGATAATCACAATTCTCTTGATCAGTCACGCACATCGGTAAGGTGAAAAGTGCCTTGATCTTAGCACATAGACCTGAAATGGGAAGACATGCAGAGCTCAAGTCATTGCTGCATACAACTAGCAGCCTCCTCTGGCATCAAGAGAGCAGGCAGATGCATCCGTCCACATGTCCCAAAAGTAGACATCCATAATCACTGGATCACATGCTAAACCCTTGAGAAAAGAAACAAACGCATTATTGAAGTCGGGAAGACACATGCTTAGTTACCGTATTTTTCGGAGTATAAGACGGAACTTTTTCCCTCAAAAAAGAGGCTGAAAATCTGGGTGCATCTTATACTCTGAATACGGCATTTTTTTTGCCTCCTGAAACCCCGCCCCCTTCACCAAAATGGCCGTGCATAGCTTGCAGGAGGCTTTCAGAGAGCTGCTGGGGGCTGGGGAGGGCAGAAATGAGCAAAAAACGGCCCATTTTTGCCCAATTTTAACCACCACCACCCAGCCCCCAGGAGCACTCTAAGCTTCCTAAAGGCTATCTATGTCCTTCTTTTTAACGAAAAATGGGCCTTTTTTTTGCTCATTTCTCCCCCTCCCCCCCCCGAGCACTCTGCAAGCCCCCAAAGACTATTCATGTCTTTTTTTTGGGGGGGGGACATTTTCGGGAGGTTTGCAGAGTGCAAAAACTTTTTTTTTTATTTGCCTGTTCAATACCTTGGTGCGTCTTATACTCCGGTGCATCTCATACTCCGAAAAATATGGTACTTAAAAGTACTAGTGGGATATGCATTAATATTCTAAAAATCATGCTTTTTAATCCATACTTGGATTCAAGAGTAGTTGCAGACAGGTGGCTTCGGAAACCTAATTAGAGAACAGGACACTTTGTGGTTTAATTTTAAATGTGAGGTTTCTACTACTCTCCTTGCGTGCGGTTTGCTACTTTTGTTCTGGGGGATTCTGATATGTCTAAAAAATTAAAAATGGATTTCTCCAGAGTCAAGATAAGTAATGACGGATATGTTTCTCTCGATAGGTAGAGAAAATTGCTTTTCTCTGCAAAGAGCAGCTAAGACATGTTCGGTGGAGGTATTTAAAAAAACCCCATTCTATTAACTACAGTTCTTAGTGAGAAACAAAGGAAAGATAAGAGACAACATGTTTTATGGTAGACTACCGTATATACTCGAGTATAAGCCGAGTTTTTCAGCCCACTTTTTGGGCTGAAAAAAGCCGCCTCGGCTTATACTCGAGTCAGTGAAAAATTTGCCCGAAATGGAGGAGAAAAAGGGGCGGGGCCATGCCGCTGGGTGACGCTCGTGAATGGCCCGGCGCCCCTGTGAGTTTCCCCTCCCTCTGTGTCAGTTTGCTGTGCAGCGCGCACTGCACCATCCCCCCTCCTCACGTTCTAATGTAATGCAGGGCTGTCTTACGATTCCCCTTCCTCCCCCTCCTGCCGCTCTGCAACGATGTCCCACCTCCTCCTTGTTATGGCAAGCAGCCACATAGCGATGTCCCACCTCCTCTGGTACAGTGATCCAATGATAGGAATCACTGTGCCGTGTGTCATAGGAGGCGGGACATCGCTCCCGCGGCTGCACGGGACATCATCATCACAGCGGGACATCAGCATCATGAGGTGAGTGAAGTATTTCATTGAATACACCGCTAGTTTACTGTTTTTCTTTGAAATAAATATTCAAAAACATTATTGGTATCTATTTTTATTTTTGAAATTTACCGGTAGCTGCTGCATTTCCCACCCTAGGCTTATACTCGAGTCAATAACTTTTCCAGTTTTTTGTGGTAAAATTAGGTGCCTCGGCTTATATTCGGGTCGGCCTATACTCGAGTATATACGGTATGTCTCCGTTCTATAATATTCCCAGCTATGTAAGTATGCAGAAATACACAGGCATCACAAAGGAAAATGCTGTTGCTATTGTGTCTTTAAGGCTTGTTTTATACATCGAATTTCTGGTCATCTCAATCTGACATTAGTTTTAATACTGTTCTTCCCCACTCAAAGGGGACTTAAAATTAAAAAGCATTTAAAAGCAATGCTGACTTGGCAGCATTCACAAAGACAGGGCTCTACTGCATAAACAGATGAAATGTTAGGAATCTCCTATGGGTTATGTATAAACCTTCACCTTTTTATTGAACAGGCCAACTGACGGGCAACCAGCTGAAGATCTTACCTGTAGTACCGATTCATGGCTGGGACGCTTGTTTAGAATTAGCTGATAGGCCTGGGGCAGAAACAGCTGCTAACAGCCCACTTACAATTTCCCGTCTGATTTCACCAACAATGGACTCCTTGATCTAAAAAAAATAAAACCAGAGGTTATGGCCTCTACCAGATACTTTATTTTATACAGGCCTATAGCTCACCCGGCCTCACTGGTTCTGAATGGGAAATCTCTTTTCCCCCTCAATTTTTATTCCCTACTTTGGAGTGAAGTGGAGGAGGAGGTGGGGAATCTTTTCACTCCTGCTCATTCAGCCTTCACCTGTCTCAGTAGTTTCAAAATTTGGAAGGTTAACACTATGACTCTTAGGCTCACTCCCCCCAAAAAACAGAGCAGTTCCGCAGTGAACAAAATGGCTGGGTTTTCCATGTAGGACCAAATACATCGTTTCTTGGGCCAAATCAGTAAACACCTTTCCGCTGGCGATAAGCAATGTGCAGTCTTTAAAAATCCTTTTTTTTTCCTTCAGCCCTCTGAGCTCCTTGGACTAAGGCTACTGAAAACTAACAGTAGTTTCCTAGCCCTCTGCGGTTCAGGGTAGCTTATAAGCCCTAAAACAGTCATGTCACAATTTTAAAAAAAAGAACCACCCCCCCCCCTTCATGTGACAGGGCCCTGCATCCCCAAAATGTTCAATGCTGGTTTTGCTACAAAAATATTACACGCAAATATCTACAGGGTAATCCAATTACAACGCCAACTAGGTTTATGTAAGAGAATAAATCATTGTGTGGTTTATCCAAACTATGGCTGAATATATTAAAAGGACATTAAAAGAGAGTGGGGAAGGCAGAGAAGAAGAGTTCATATTCCCATATTTTCTGAAAACCAATACTCTGCATAACAATCTGTTTGAATGAAATAAATCCTTTCTGCTTCTGGAAAAAGCTTATAGGAAATGGAGATGTTTCACCATTATTTTTCTCTAATGAACTCTCCATTATCATTTGCAATAGTGCACCAGAATCTAGGGGGTGGAGGGACTTCACAGAAACTACTAAAAACCACAGCCTTTCCTTTCTCCACAGTATCAATCCACTTATAAAATACTTTTCTCCTTTTTTGTTGTGGTTTGTTCCATTCAATAAATAAAAGGTCAGAGTGTAAGTTTTTCAAACTTACAGACACAACGCATCTTAACTTCTTTATTTTGTAATTTTTTTCCCCCCCCGTAGGAGGAATGTGCTCATTTATTCTGAAGGGTCAGAAGGCTTTTTTTCATTCGAGTAGAGAGGTCAAAAGCTCAAACGCATTACAGGCCACTCAAAAATGCTCTGAAACAGTTGTTGTTTTTTTGTATGGCCTTCGCCTTGCCCCCCACTGCAAACGAAATAATTCAAACACACAGAAGGGGACAAATCGCCAGTATGCCCCGTAAGCTTAACATTGTGGGGAAATATCAAGAATGCATATTAAATAAGCCTTCTTGCAAGAGAGCCGTTCTGTTTAGAAAGCAAACAAAGCCTGGCTAAAGCTCTGGGTATTTTATGAGACACTCAAGTATACAGTGACACACATGGCGGCCCAACACCCCCTCTTCCTGCAACACATATGACATTCAGAAAACTGACCAACTCTGGAATTTGCGAGACGGGAGCTGCACCCTTCCACCCACTTGCCTGGAGAGCTACCAAGAGAGCTCAATGGGACTTCTGTATAGAAATGTGTAAGAGGCAGGATGGATAAAAATCGATTGGGGGGGGGGGGGGGGGGGGGAATGCCAGCAGGTGGCTGTGTTTTTGAAATCTTAACTAAATGAAAATTGTGGTATGGTGATAGTAAAATATATAAATTTTTAACATGTACAATCTAGACTGAATGGAATATATGTGATTGTGGACAGAACGCACAAAATTGTGACCAATGGATACGCTTTCTACAAGATGTAATGACAGATGATGGGGTTTTTTTTGTATGTGTGTGTTTTTGTTTGTAATAAAACTAATTAAAAAATTATATTAAAAAAATTGATGGTTATTTTTAAAAATATATATTAAAAACCATTTTTTTAAAAAATTAAATCAGATTTATTAATTTTTATCAAATTTATTTTAATATGCTTTTGGAGTAAAAATCTATCTAAAGATAGTTTTCTATTTAAGATTCCCTCCAAACAATAAAATTAGGTAGCTCCATACTGGGTTGATATAATGGCTAACGAATATTCTTTCTCTGCTTAGTTAGTAAGGTGCTAAGTACAGATATAATGCAATTAGGTAGTAAAATAGAAAATATAGTATTTTCAGTCATATCTATTTATTCACTTATTAGGATTATATCCGTGCAACTCTTGATTCATAAAAGTTTCCACTAGAGGACCTCTTTCATTCCTTTAGCTGTTAAATTCAGCTTTCATTTTTTTCTGCAGTTTTCCCCACAGAAACTCTGGGCTGCTACTAAAGCGGGGTGAAGGGGGACTTGTATCCACTTAGTATCTCTTAATGGATGAACAATAGCTTAGTTAACTGTTACATTTTAAAAATAAGCAATTAGCCAGTTGTAATTGACTGGCTGGTCAATATCCTTCTTTCCAAGATGTTCTGACTCCTTCCACAAAATTCATTTGTTTTGTTTAATCCCTTCTTGCCCAGTTTTAGCTACCGTTATGGTGCAGTCATTAGGATGCAATATTACAGTCTAATTCTGCTGACTGCCAGCAGTTCGATCCTCACCAACTCAAAGTTGACTAATTCTTCCATCGTTCCAAAGTGGGTAAAATGAGGACCCATATTGTTGGGGGCAATTGGCTGACTCTCTAAACTGCTTAGAGAGGGCTGTAAAGCAGTGTGAAGCGGTATATAAGTCTAAGTGCTACTGCTACTAATTTTCAGCTCAGGCAAAACCTCTGACTTAAAGGGAGAGAGATGGCATATGCATACCTAAAAGCAAGCAACACATTCCTCCCTGTAGCAAATCTCTGTCCTCACCTCTCGAATGACTTGCTGCAGTTCCTCGTTCTCCACACTCTTGGACACTTCCTCACTCGTAGGCCCAGAGGGTAACTTTTCAAGTTTATGCTCCGCAGTGGACTTGGATGTCCAGGGCTCCTCCTGCCCGATTCCTGCTCTTGCCGGGGGAGCGGGCATCAAGGCTACACTTGCCCGGTAGACTTTTTGAGTGGGTGGTCTGCACTTTTCAGATGACCACCCATGGGCTTTTCGACTGGCTTGACTAGAACACACCGAAGAGGAATCGGAATGTGTGCAGTGTTCAAATATAGATTCCGAGCCTTCGGGAGGAGGTGTGTGCATGCCGGGTTCGCCTAACCCCAATTCTGATTTCAGAGACGACTGCTCTCGAATGAGTTCAGAAACCTGGGGATTCAGGGAGTGGAAAGAATCAGACAGCCGTCACAGCAAAAGCATAAACATAGTATCTTGTTTTGGGGTCATAAATTACCCATAACAACCCTGCATCCTCTAAAGCTTTCAAGAAGAGTAACAACACTAATAAATCTAATAAGTGGCATGGGTCCAGGTTACCCGAGGAAATGTCTTGTCTAAATTTACACTGATCTCTCCTGCCTACTCTGGCACAAAGGGTGTGCTTTATACCCCATTGGCTACAGAATTTTGATTGGTAGAGTCTAGGAGGAGAGCCTTTTTGGAGATATTTCTATGAAAATATTGCCCCCTGAGGGGAGGTTGGCTTCTGGTTAGCTAGGCACCTAGGAAAGACCTGCCTTCTAAAAAATTTCAGAAACTACTGTATTTTTTGGAGTATAAGATGCACTCCTCCCTCCCTCTCTAAAAGAGGGTGAAAATTTGGTTGCGTCTTATACACTGAATGTAGCCCTGCCCACCTGCCGGCCCCCACTCTTTGGCCATTTTTGGCTTCTGCACATCATGTTTTAGACCTGTTCCATGCTGCAGGGATTGCCACAGACCATCGCTGCCTCCATGCCTCGCGTTTTCAGCCTCCAAACATTCCGTTTCAGACCCATTCAAGGCTGCAGGGATCGCCAGAGCACATCACCACTGCCACGATGTGCAGAGGCCAAAAATGCGAGGCATGGAGGCGGTGATGGTCTGTGGCAATCCCTGCAGCCTGAACTGGTGATTGGGGGTATTCTGGGAGGCCAATCCACCCGCCAATCAGCTGCTTGTGCTGAATCAGGTTGAAATAATGTGCTGAAGCTGACCTAATTGTTTGCTATTTTCTCCCCCAAAACTAAGGTGCGTCTTATACTCCAAAGAATACAGTACTTTGCAACAACAAGGACTTGGCCTTAAGAATAGGGTCCCACAAGAACCCCGAAGCATCTTTTTATATTTACAATTGTCAACCATTAACTCTGTATTTCACTTTTGATGGTTTTTAAAAAATATATTTTTATCTTATCTTTTATCTTCATGTTACCTTATTTTACAAATATTTTTATAGTGTTTCTAAAAGGCTTTTCTGATTTTCTGTAAAGTTAATTTAAACAATAATGAACATCCTATTTTGTTATGGAGGATTTCCCAACTTTTAGGAACAGCTCGAGTAAGCATGTGTTTGTTGGGGGATGGAAAAGAGATTAAACCCAACAAGCAAAAATCGCATGTCCCTATTCCTCCAATGGAAATCCTATACTGGATAAAGGTTAAGGTAAAAGTTTCCCTCGCACATATGTGCTAGTTCTTCCCAACTCTAGGGGGCGATGCTCATCTCCGTTTCAAAATCAAAGAGCCAGCGCTGTCCAAAGACGTCTCCATGGTCATGTGGCCAGCATGACTAAACCCTGAGGGCGCACTGAATACTGTTACCTTCCCACCAAAGATGGTTCTTATTTTTCTACTTGCATTTTACATGCTTTCGAACTGCTAGGTTGGCAGAAACTGGGACAAGTAACGAGAGCTCACTCTGTTACATGGCACTAGGCATTCGAACCGCTGAACCTCCAATCTGATGAACAAGCTCAGCGTCTTAACTACAGAGTCACCGTGTCCTACTGGGTGATACTGGCTATCAGCCTCTAAATCAGGAGTGTCAAACTCGATCACATCGCAAGCCTTATTGTGACCTATCGGGATGGGTTTTTTTGCCTTTGTGGAGCCGGGGTGGGCATAGCCTGCATGGGCCGTATCCAGCTTGTGGGCTGCCAGTTTGACAGGCCCGCTCTAAATCATCAGATGCCCAGTTCCATCAGTACTTATCTTCATTTATTTATCTTATTTAGATTGAAACTGAAATCAAATAGAAAAGCTTGCTTCCATATTCTGAGCTGCCCATGACATATAAGAGCCAAGGTGGCGCAAATAAGAGCCGAGGTGGCGCAGTGGGTAGAGTGTAGTACTGCAGGCCACTTCAGCTGACTGCTAACTGCAGTTCGGCGGTTCAAATCTCACCGGCTCAAGGTTGACTCAGCCTTCCATCCTTCCGAGGTGGGTAAAATGAGGACCCAGACTGTGGGAGCGATATGCTGACTCTGTAAATAGCTTAGAGAGGGCTGAAACCCT